ACAGACCTGCTTTCCATATCACCTTCTTCAATCCCTTTCCTCTCCTCCCTCCTGCTCGTTCGTCTCCGCCTCTCCTTCTCCTTCTGTTCCCCCCTCTCTCTCCACCTCCATCATACTTCTCCTCCTCCCATCCTCTGTCCCCCCTCTCTCTCCCTCCTCCTCCTCCTCCTCCTCTTCCTCTTCCTCGCTCGTTCTTACCGCCTATTGGAGACTTGTCGCTCCCAGTCACAAACTTGAGTAACAATTTCTTATGCTCTAGGTCCCACTCGCGCACAATCTGCATCAGAATCAGACCTTTCAACTCTCCTGCTCCTGCTGCTCCTGCTGGTCCTGCTCCTGCTCCTGCTCCTGCTCCTGCTCCTGCTCCTGCTCCTGCTCCTGCTCCTGCTCCAGCTCCTGCTCCTGCTCCTGCTCCTGCTCCAGCACCTCCTCAATCTGCTCCTGCTCCTGCTCCTGCTCCTGCTCCTGCACCAGCTCCAGCTCCAGCTGCTCCTGCTGCTCCTGCTGCTCCGTTCTCGTCCTTAACTCTGCTCTCATTCTCTCTCAATTTCCTTCTCCTCCTCTTCAACTTCTTTCCCTTCCTCTTCTCCACTCTCTCGCGTTTACCTGCCAGAACCATTCAACGGCTTGACTGCTCGCGCTATACCCGCCCGCGTATGTCGCTGCCTCCTCCAGCCCTTTGAAGTCAAGATTTGGAGACCCGCAAACCAGCACCTGCATGAACAACTTTCACTCCTCCTGCTCCTGCTCCTGCTCCTGCTCCTGCTCCTGCTCCTGCTCCTGCTCCTGCTCCTGCTCCTGCTCCTGCTCCTGCTCCTTTTCCTCCTCCCACCCCTCCTCCTCCTCCTCCTCCTCACAGCGGCAGCAATTGGTACTTTCTCGTTCCCTCCTGTCCCCTCCTCATGACCCTTCTGCCTTCTTCCTCGCTCCCTACGTTTCTCTCCCTTCCATTTTCTCACCTCCAGCTCTCGCGGGCTGAGCAGCTTTAGAATCCCCTCCTGCTCGAACATGAAGAGAAACCCCTCCTTGAAGGGCTCGAACTGCGAGCTGACAGAGGAGGACAGGAGGTACTCAACGTATCGCTGCACGTACTCCCTCCTGTTGCTGTTTGTTACCTCCACGTCTCCTCCTCCCTCCTTCAGCTCCACCACCCTTCTCTCCCCGAACGACTCGATCGCTGCCTGGAACGTCAGGCAGAAGACGTCCTGCACGTCCCCCGGCCCCGAGTACTCGAGGAGGGCGAGGAGGCCGCGGGAGGTCTCAGGACTGAGATCGGCAACGTCCTGGTGGTTGAGGGGGAGGGAGAGAAGCTTTTTCCATAGCACGAGAGGCAGCTGAAGGTCAAGGAGCACGTGGTTGTAGACGGCAAGTCCCAGCAGCAACCCCACCAGCATGAACTCCTGGGAGGACTCGAGGGAGGAGGGGTTGAACCAGAGGACCCTCGTCTCCTCCTGCTGGAGGAACATACCGAAGGAGGGATCGAAGAGCTGCTGAACTATGAGCGCGAAGAACTCCTTCTTCAGCCCCCCCTCGTCAACTCCCTCCTCCCCTATGAACACAACCTTGAGCGGCTTGAACAAGTCGCTCTTCCTCTGCCGGCAGAGCTCGTCTAGCGCATCTTGCAACAGGTGAGATCGACGCAGTCGGATGATGCAGAAGGCAGGATGCGACGGGGGGATGCCGCTGCTGCTGGGAGGAGGGAGGGAGTACCCGTCCTCTGCCTTCGCTGCATGAGCCCTCTTGCTCCACAGCAGCCCTCCTACCGTCGCCTCCTCCTGCTGGACCAGCGAGCTTGTTGCGATACCTATGATCTGCTGCTGCTGCTGCCGGTAGCTAGCCTCCACCTGCAGCAGCTTTGACTTTGCCTCGTCGTTGAGCAGGAAGGAGAAGCGGCAGAAGCTGAAGTTTGCGCGCCAAAAGTCGTAGGAGGCGACGGGGCCAGGCAGCAGCTGCTGGGCCCTCCTCCACGAGATATAGTCAAAGTTCCAGTCGATGTGCTCCGAGATGAACTGGTTGTAGAACTTCCGCGCATCCAAACTTGGCGAGTCGACAGCCTTGAGGGCGTTTGCCTTGTACGCCAACTCCAGTACGACGATGACGTCCTGGAGGGGCGGGGAAACTTGTTTGATCGCCTCGATCTCCTTGCTGAGAAAGTTGTTGAGGGGGGAGACGATCCTCGCGCCTAAGATATCGAGCGGACTGCGAGACCACCAAGACACGATCTGCTTCCTCCGTTAGCTCCTCCCGTCACCTGCTCCCGTGAACTCCTCTTCCCGTTAGCTCCTTCTCCGCTCCTCTTCCTCTCGTCACTTTTCTCGTCCCTGTGCTGCCCTTCATGCTGCTCATCCTTGACTTCGGCGCCTCTCCATCCCTCTCGTTCTTCTCTCCCTCACTCTCTTTCCTACCCCCATTCTCTTCTCCCCTCCGCCTCTCCTCCCCTCCGCCTCTCCTCCCCTCTGCCTCTCTTCCACACTTTCTCTCCCTGTACCTGCTGCATCGTTGCATCATCGAAGCCAGCGATCACTTTGCAGACAAGTAGAATGAGGTTCCCTCCAAACCTCTCGTTGCACATCACCTGAGCAAATTCAGCTGCTCCCCCCTCTGCTGCTCCTTTTCATACTCTTCTTCCTCTCCTTCCCAACCTTCTCCCTCTGCCACTGCCTCTGCCTCTGCCTCTGCCTCTGCCTCTGCCTCTGCCTCTGCCTTTGCCCCTTCTCCCTCCTCCCAACTCACAGGGTTTTGAGCCAGCAGGATCGCAGCTTTCGCCATGGCGGTGCAGGCCTGAGCGTTGAGTTTCTTTCTCTGCTCGAGCATCTCGTTGAGCAAACTGCTCGTCGCGTCCACCAGGCTCGGCAGGTTCATCGCGCCCAGCGCCTGAATCAGCTCCACGTAGACCAGCTCGACTCCGAGGAAGTCGATCCCCTCCCCTCCGCTTCTTGCGAAGACAGCGTTGAGGGCGGAGGAGGAGGAGAAGAGAACCTTAGTCTGGTTGATGAGCTCCGGCACCTGAGAGCTGATCTCAAATAGTATATTTCAAGCCTGCGACTCTCGCTGCAGCCTTTCTCTCCTTTCTGACCATCCTGTCCTGACCTGTCCTGACCTGACCTGACCTGACCTGTCCTGTCCTGTCCTCATCCTCTCCTCTTCCCCTCTCGCTTCTTTCACATCTTTTTCAACATTTTTCACGAGTATCAACAACTTACAGCAGTCGATCTCGTTCTTGACTCGGCAATCAGTTTTTGCAGTTGACGAACAGCAACAGAACCAAGAAGAGCTGTAAGCGAATCGTTCAGTCCCCCTCCTACGCATGAAGTCCTCTTTTGCCTCCTCTTGCTCCTCCTCTTGCTCCTCTTCTTCTATTTCTCCTCCCCCTCCTGCTCCTGCTCCTGCTCCTCCATCTCCCCTTGGTATGCCCGTCTCCTTACCGTAGTGATGCATCCTGTGAGTGAAGAGCTCCTGATATGCTCCGATTGTGACCCCGCTGGTCTGACCTCCTGCTGCCAGCAACTGAACCTGAAGGGCGCGGATCAGGCGATGATGTGGAGAGCAAGATGGAACAAGAAGAGCAGGCATTCGACGAGCACCAGGGGAAGAGTAGCTCCAAGACTGGGGAGAAGGAGAGCAGAGCACCAAGAAGACCGACGAGGCGAGAAGGAAGGAGGGAGGGAGGGAGGGAGGGAGGGAGAAGAAGAGGGCAAGGAGAGAGGCAGGGAGGCAGGAGGAGGAGGAGGAGGAGGAGGAGGAGGAGGAGGAGGAGGAGGACTCACCTGCAGGAAGCTTGAGTTCAAGGCCTTGGCGGCGACGGGGCTGAAGGGCATGCGAGCAAGGTGTTGCTCCTTGAGGTCAGCCGAGATCTCAACGGGCGTCAGCGCCTCCTGGTGGTCGCTCCCCAAGAACAGCTGCCCGTACTCGTTGGACCCGCACACAAACAGGACGCCGCTCGAGTCACGGAAGAGCGTGTGCTCGTAGCCGCAGGAGACTTCTGATATCTCCTGCTCCTCCAGCCTTTCTACCCTCCTTGGACGATGTTCGTCCCTCCTGCTCCCGTGTCCGAGCTGGCCCTTGCTCCCCATGCCGCAGCTGTAAACCTTGAGGTCGCTGCAGAGGAAGACGGAGTGGTTCCCCCCGCACGCCACTAGCTTCACGTTGCTGAGCGAGCTGACCTTCTGCGGGGTCCAGCTGATGTCCTCCTTCTCGTTCGAGTGCATCCACTCGATTGCCGCGTCCACCCCGACGTTGTTGCTAGCCATGAGCGCGCCCTCCGCCTTCTCCTGCGCATACCCCATCTCCAACAGAGTCGACAGCATCGCCTGGTTGATCTCCGCCATGGATATCTCCCCTCTTCCTCCCTCCGCTCTCAGCCCGAGCTGCCCGTGCTTGTTCAGCCCCCACATGTGCGCTTCTCCTGTGCTCACTACAGCAGCACTATGATTCTCCCCAGCTGCGATCTGCACGACAGGAAGCGACCATAGCGCGCCGATCACTCGGGGAGTGCAGCAGTCCTCCCCGTCCCCGTGCCCGAGGGCCCCGTAGGCCGCCAGCCCGCACGAGAGGACTTGGGATGTGCTGGTAAGGATGAGGGTATGCGACTCTCCGCACGCTACCTGCATCACGTAATGCTCTCTGAGCGATCGGATCAGCCGCGGGACCTGGGAGGAGCGGAAGGTATCGTGCCCGCACTGTCCTCTGTCAGAGTTCCCCCAGGTCACCAGCTCGCCGTCCTTGGTGATGAGCGCAGAGTGCTGTCCTCCGCATGCCACGTCCACCGCCGCCATGGACCTGATGGACAGGTCGTTGTCGAGGTTGACGCGGATGGGGAGGAGGACGTAGCTTTCCACCTCCTTCCTCACGTTGCACTGGCCGCAGTCGTTGAGCCCGAAGCAGAAGGCCTGCAAGGTTGACGTCCGTCAGCAGCAGCAGCGAGCACAGATCCTCTCTTCCCCCTACCTCTCCATCTGCTGTCGAGCACAGGACGTGATTCCCTACGGCCATCCTCGTTATCCTCTTCGCTCCCGCCCCTCCCAGCGAGACAGGTACGGGCACCATGCTGTCCTTGTTTGTCCCCGTGCCTAGTTGACCGAAAGATCCGTTGCCGACGAGCCAAGCGCTGATGGCCTGATTCAAGGAGGAGGGCTTCGTGATCTGGAGCGCCCTGAACCTTTTGAGCCGGTCCCTCGAAATCTCTTCTACCTCCATCGTGTCTGCTTCACTCCCTCCTCCTCCTCCTCCTCCTCCTCCTCCTCCTCCTCCTCCTCCTCCTCCTCCTCCTCCCTCTGCCGACGTACAAGCTGTGTCGTTGACCTCGCTTGTGAACTCTGGGATTATTCTCTCCTCTTCTTCCTCCATCTCTTCTTCTCAGTACATCTGAGCCTGCTCAAAGACTTAGGAGGATCAGCAAGCGCATGCCCAGAAAGAACCTCCCCTTGAAAGACCTCACCCCTGCTGCAGAACATCGCCCCTCTTCCTCTCTCCTCTCTTTCTTCTCTTGTATGCTCTAAACTTGAAGCAAACCCAGCTGGCTCATACATTCCTGCGATCGGACTTTCGGCCAACTCTCTCCTTATGCCTCGTCTCGTCTCGTCTCGTCTCGTCTCGTCTCGTCTCGTCTCGTCTCGTCTCGTCTCGTCTCGTCTCGTCTCGTCTCGTCTCGTCTCGTCTCGTCTCGTCTCGTCTGCTCGGATCTGACCAGACAAGACCAGACCAGACAAGATCTGACCTGACCTGATCTGATCTGATCTGATCTGATCTGATCTGATCTGATCTGATCTCGTCTCATCTACTTCTCTTCTACTTGCTTTCCTCTTCTCTTCTCTTTCCTTCGCTTCATTCTTTCTTCGTTTCAGGCCATTTCACGTAGAATCCACAGGTTCAGTTCCGAACCTTCTGGATTTTGCGACCAATTTTCGAAGGTAGTACTTTCATCTGACTATTTCAAACATTTTGTTCAAAAATATCATTCTGAAGATTCTCATTGTGAAACAAAACAATTAGTTTTAGTAATATTTTGAAATTATGAAAAATGAGATATTCGCTTATAGCAGGGGCACTTCCTAGGAAACTGTGGGGGCGGTAGAGGGTGGGGTCCCTATGTCTTAAAGAGTAGGGACTGAGTGGGGAGGAGGTCCACATTTACGAGCGGGGAAGAGGGCACATCGAGAAGGCGCAAGATGGCGTGGCGGTGGGGCGAGAAGAGGGCGGTACATGCTGCGATGCAGGCTGGAATCCTCCTCCTCCCTCCTGCTCCTGCTCCTCCCTCCTGCTCTAGATCGTATCATGCTTCCTCCCTCACTCCCCCTCTTCTCCGATGCCCGGTCCTGTCAAGTCGTCCACCGTGCCAACACAGGATCCGGCAGCATCCCCCGTCGACGCGAGGATCGGGGTCATGGTGGGGAGCAAGTGAAGGGTCTCGAGGCATGTCCAGTCAAGACGCGGCTGACAATCACCCGATGAAGTACAAGCCCAGAGACGAGGCATGCTTCCCCTCTCTCTTGGGTTGAGCTGACCAGACTCTTTCATTGGGCAGGAATTCATGCCTCTAACGGAGGAGCAGAAAACCTTCGAGCTCTGGAATCGTCTTCACATGCCGTACTCGAGATACTTTCTCCCTGCTCTCAAGCCCATCTACTCTGCCGTCGCTTCCAAGGCCGCCTCTCTCATGCAGGTCTTGCCCTGCCCTCTGCCCCCACCGGTTGACCAGCTGGCAGGATACGGAGTTACCTAAGATCTTAGACATCGGATCGAGTGTAGGAGAACCTTCTCTGGTGAGGATGTTCAAAGAGATTTCCTGTCCTCTCCTCCAACGCCGCTGCCTCTCCTCCTCTCCTCTCCTCTCCTCTCCTCTCCTCTCCTCTTCTTCCCTCTCCTCTCATCCACTCCTTCCTTCTCCCTCCCCTCCTCTCCTCTTCCCATGTTTCTTCCGTCTTTAACCTGCCTGTTTGTTTCTCTCACGCTCTTCTTGCAGTCCATCGCAAAGATGCTGCAAGACAGCACCGTCCTGTCGACAGATATCTCAGCGAGAAGCGGTCTGCTCTCGAAAAAGGGCGGGGGGGCGGCGGGGGGTAGGACTGTTGGTGGATGATGATGATGATGATCATGAGCATGAGTATGTGGATGAGGATGAGGATGATGGTGATGCTGATGCTGATGCTGATGCTGCTGCTGCTGCTGCTGCTGATGATGATGATGATGATGATGATGATGAGGAGGAGGATGGGGAGGAAGAGGAGGACGAGGACGAGGAAGAGGAGGAGAGGAGGAGGAGGAGGAGGAGGAGGAGGAGGAGGAATGGAGGAGATCATTTAATGATTGAGAAGGAGAGCGGGTTGGGGTTAGATATATCGTGGGTCATGATGACTGTAATGACGTTGTGACTTTGTATCAGTCGTCATGGGAAGAGCACGAGCAGAGCAGAATAACGTAAAGAATATAGAATTCTTCGGCTGCAATGCTGGTGAAACTACTTGACTTTTCTCTTGCTTTACAAGTCTTCTTTTTCATGATTCCATCTCTCAATCTTGCTGCTGCTCCCGATCTTTCATCTCCTCCAGTTTTTCTTCATCTGCTGCTCCTGTCTCCCCATCTCTTTGTTTGCATTGATACGTTCTCCAGACAACCTCATGTTCGATGCCGAAAGTTTCGACCTGGTCCGTCTCCCCCCTTGTGCTTCGAACGGTTGACGACTGCAGGTTTCTTCTTCCTTCCTCCTCCCTTACGTCGACGTCTCTAAAGTAGCGGATGAAACCTTTGTGAGTATTCCTCTCCTCTCCTCCACCTTCTCCTCCACCCCCTCCTGCTCCCTCCCTCCCTCCCTCCCTCCACTTTCGCCTGCCTCTTCCCCCCTCGCTCCCTCTCCCGCTCCCTCTGTCTCCCTCCCTTATTCCCTCTCCCTCTCTTGCCTTATCACTCCTCCTCTTGATCGTCCTGCAGCGTGTGCTCAAGTTGGGCGGCAAGCTCCTCCTGGTTGACTTTGCCAGCGAGGTTCTCCTCTTCCTCCTTTCGCTCAAGTCTGAGGTGCATGCAGGAAGCTGATGTCCTCCGACCCCTCCTAGCTGTGAGTAAAGGAGGGAGATGCTAACAAGAGGCACCGTCGTCGTCATAGTCGTCGTCATCACCATCACCATCATCACCACCACCACCAACCCCAACCATCACTACCACCACCACCATCGCCGCCACCGCCGCTGCCACCACCACCACCATCAGCATCATCATCATCAGCAGCAGCTACAGTGGCACTGAACTTTGCATCTTTGACCATGAAGGTGTTGGATGCGTTTGTGCCCGATCGGAAGCAGCTTCCCCCGCAGCAAGGTTGGTCTTCCTCCAGGATCCTTCGCTTGTCACTCCCCTTGACTCCTCCTCCTCCCCCTCCTCAGGTTGCTATCCCGATCGCTGGGCAACCCAGGTGGAGCAGCTGAAAGCGGAGCTGGAGAGGGCGGGGTTCCAGGACATCACCTACGAGAAGGTGACAAGGAGGAGGGGAGAGGAGAGGAGGGGAAAGGAGAGGAGGGGAGAGGAGGAGAGGAGAGGAGGGAAGGGGAGAGGAGAGGAGAGGAGGGGAGAGGAGAGAGGAGAGGAGAGGAGAGGAGAGAGACGAGACGAGACGAGACGAGACGAGAGGAGACGAGACGAGACGAGACGAGACGAGAGGAGAGGAGAGGAGAGGAGGGGAGAGGAGAGGAGGGGAGGGGAGGGGAGGGGAGGGGAGGGGAGGGGAGGGGAGGGGAGGAGAGGAGAGGAGACGGGGGGAAGCACGAAAGGGACAGTGTTGTGAAACCAGGTCGACATTGAGTTGGACATCGTTGTGAGCGTCGAGGAAGCGTGGGAGATGTACAGGTAAGAGAATGATAGCTCAGGAGGAGGAGGAGGAGGACGAGGAGGAAAAGGTAGAGAGGAAAAGAGAGCGAAGGGAACCGGGAGCAGAAGAAAGGCGGTGTGGAGGTGGAGAAGAAATTTTTGTCCTTTGTTCACCCCGATGGCAGGGAGTACATCGAACAACTATTAGAACATCAGGTTTGCATATCGATCCTTGAACTTTTCTCTTCCTGACCTCTTCGCTCCCTCCCACAGAAAGCAGATGTCTCCACTGCCGCCAGGTTTGTCTTTGGGCCGTTTGCTGCCAGTGGACTGACGAGTGAGATGGTAGAGAAGTCTTCATTAAGCACCTCGAAGATCGCAAACTCATCAGGGATGGTCAGGTTTACCTATGGCAGGTGAGCTGCTCGAAAGTTTCCTGCGAAAGTGTTCTCATGGTGTTGTTACAGGAGAGCAGAATCTTGCTGATCGAGGCGAGCAAGCCGATGAAATCATGGTTTCAACAGCTGTTTGAGTGATATGAGTACATCTTGACGCGGGCTTGATTGTTTTCCTCTCTCCCTTCCTCCCAACAATCCACATCGCCCCTTGATTTCACAACACATGCTTTAACGTCGTTGTACGTGACATTTTCTCAGTTTATCTCACAAGTTTAACAGAGGAACTATTTAACAACGGCGCATCCTGCGCATATTCTCTCATATCAGCTCTTCTCCACCCTCAACCACCTTGCATTCATCAGCATCTCAACATCATCGATTCTTGCCCCAGCAAACACCACATGATGCATCAGACGCTTCTGCTTCTTCCTCTCGCCCACTAGAGGGCTCGCGAGCGGCTCCTGGCATCCCGCCCGCTCGTCACACTCACTGTCAAGCAGCTTACCAATCAGCTCCACAGAGTCCACGTGGGGGAGAGAGCACGCGCGGAGAGGACAGGCATCCGCCATGTCCTCCTCCTCCTCGCGCTCGTAGCTGTGTTCGTGCTCGTGCATCGCAAACCTGTCAGGAATCTTCACCGACGTCCTCTCCTTCTGCGGAGGAGGAACGTGCCCAACGTGATGCAGCTCACTCTCCTCCAGCATCGCCGGGATGAGCTCCATACTGTCGACATGCTTTAACCCCTTGTCACTCTCATTGGGAACTTGAAACAAAGAGTTGATCGCTTCTTCTTTGGACCACTTCCTGCAGGCCTGCGGCACGTTCTGCTGCTCGAGCCATCCTCGCCCACCTTTCACTCCATGCTCTGTCGCCTTCACTCGCTCGTCCTCATCCATCTCCGCTGCCTCAACGAGCGAAAGCAACGAGGGAGCTGAACTTGAATGCCGAAGACGGGGCAAAACAAAGTCGTTCTTAACCATTTCAGCGATCTTGGAGCTACAGGGAATGAGCATTCCTCTCAAAGACATTACTTTTCCTCACAGGTGACAATCGTCTTACTTCAATCTACCTGTCAAACAATCACAAAATATCAGAATGGTACAACGTTGGAGAGTGGGATTGTTTGGAGGGAGTCTCTAGAAATAGGCAAACTTGGGGACTCATTCGTCTTAGAATTAGAGGTGAAAACTGATAGAGATTGAAAATAATGCGAGAACACTCTGAAGCATCGTTCCGACTGCGAACCTTCACTCCTCTTCCCTCCGCTCACACCTATGCAAACGACCTCATACTGTACCTTTGATAAATTCGTTGTTTCTGCCCTTGCCCGAGTCATGCAGCTCAGCGATTCGTATGATGTCCTGACATCTCACATTCCTATCGACTCTCTGCTCATGCCGTCCTCCTACCCTGCCCCCCACCTCCTCGCACCATGCTCTCAACCCAACTGGCTAACTGGCTACCGTGACAGCCATTTTCTTTTGCTTTTGGTTTTAAAACACTTTTAATCGACACATTTAAAAGGGGAGGCTTCAGCAGCTGTAGATGCAAGATCGCGATGCTTCGCTTGGTCGGCCCCATATAAATCACTTATAATATAACAACATTATATTAGGTTCTAGAAGTGATTCCGAACTGGTAGCCGATCAGGGATAAATGTTTATAACATTGATATGATTTGAACGTGTGTACAATTACTTATACGTGAACCCCAGAAGGGTTTACATCGCGCACATATAAGGCCCAAACATTCTATTTCTACGTCGTTTAGTTTACAAAAACGTTATTAATTTATAAACAAGTTATATAATTGCGTCTAAAGCCGGTCGCATCAAAGAAACATTGACTACGGAAGCCGAGATTTTGACTGTATGACCCATATGTTGACTATAATGGTTAACGCCTGTAGTTTACACTGTGCTTTCTTGACTTTGAGCATGCAGCCTTATTGACTATAGGACTCCGGGCCGGTGACGGGCCCGCCGGCGGTCACCGGGAGTCCGGTCACCGAGTCGCGCGGCGGCTCCCGGAGTCCCACCCGGCGGGCCGCGCCGTCGGACGGTCTCGCCAGATTGGCTTCTTCCGAGTCTTTACTCAAAGTTAAGTTAAAAATCACTCAGCCGTAGTCGGCGAGGACAATCAGGAGAGTCGAGGAGGGCAGGCTTGACCCTGACACTGTCCGGCGCACAGGCCCCGGCCAAACGGCGAGAAGAGAAAAGACAGCGAGAAAAAAATTCATGATTGGCTCGGCGTGCTGCCATGATCATCAGAGCATACGCTATGCCATGATGATAAAAGGCTGGCCGCACTGGCAACCGTGACACCGTGCCACTGCCGGTGCTTCAAGGCTTTGAGTAAAGGTGGCCCGCCGGTGTGATTCAGTGATGTGATGGATGACTCGGCGGAGTCGGTGTCACGGCCGGAGCCTCGGCGAGTCACACCAGCGGCCGGCCCGGGCCGCGCCGCGGCCGTGCCCGCCGCGGTCACGGCGGGCGGCGGCCGCGGCAACCCGATCGTACGGTGCGCGGCCTCAGTACACTCGGACTCCCGGGAACTTTGGAACGGTCCGGCCGGGCCAGTGCCGCCGACCCTCTGGCCGGCCGGCCGGCCGGCCCGGGGTGAATTTTTTTCGCCGGGTGCTCTGCCAGCCGCATTTTTTCAAAGTTTTAGGGAACGTACAGGGGTATTGAAAAAGGGGGTGGGGGTCGCTTTTACACCCGTACCATTTCCATCACTCTGAGCCATAAAATATGGGTGGGTCCTAGGCCCCTTGCACCATGACCCAGTGAAGTTACCGCTTTCCTTCCCAAGATGTACGTTAGATGAACTGAAGGGGTGGGGGTATATCAGACACCGGTACATTTGAGCCACAATACCATATAAAAGTGTGGGTATCACACTCCATCCCGTACTACGGGTACTACTGATTTACTCGATTGCGGGGGCGAATATTTCTTGAGCAGCTTTGGCTCCTTAGAAGTTGCCTGCGTCCTCCCTCCACGCACAGGCAGACGCACATGGTTCTTATCTCTGCTGGTTAGCTTACGATGTTAGCTACTCTCTCAAGGACATCTAGTTTCTCAGCCAATGACACGAGATAGAATATATTCCCTTCATTGCCATGTGCCTTGCGATGAAATGAGAGATGCTGGCAGACTCGTCTCCCGCTATCAAGCATGTCAGCAAGGCAGGGCGTGTTTGTAGTTGATGCCGTACAAATTGCTCACTGTTATCTATCTGGTTTGGAGAGTAGAACAGCAACTTGTGATAGTGCAACAAGTCGATGATGTTGTGAACATTCAATTCACACATGTACAAATGAATGAGAACACCTGATATGTTGAAAACAAATTAAGTATCCATTGTCACAACTTGTAAGTTCAAACTCAGGGTGATAAAGACGTTTGGAGCTGCTCTCGGAATGTTGCATACTAGGGTTGTGAGAAGTCACGCACTGTAACAACTTCGTGTCACTGTCACAAAGATGTTGATGATATTAGACGAGCCTCAGAATCGAAGTGAGGAAAAGTATCTATTGAACAGCTGAATCATTGTGCATGTACGGTGTGGGTAGTTGAAGTAGATGTATTCTGGATGTAATGAAGAAGCTGTGAAGCTATCTCCCTTTCATCTCTGCATTTCCTCAAGGATGCCGTGTGGTGCATTTACATGTATTTGTCTGATTGCATAATGAGAATCGGAGGGTGCGAGGCGGTCCCGGTATCTTCGTGCTGCATCCTCTGTCTCATGGCAGGCCTGGAAGTCACATGCAGATCACAGCAGCAGCGGGTCAGCGATCGCATCATGCACAGCGACGTCAGGCGATCTCGCTCAACGCGATCAGAGCGTGATGGAAGGCTGCATGGGCTGATGGAGGAGGGAGAGGGAGGAGAGAGAAGGGAGAGGACGAGGTGAGCAAGAAGGGATTTTGCATGTGATCAGATTGTGAGAGAAGGTCACGTAGGCTGATAGAAGAAGAGGCGATAATGTGATTTACTCTCACAAAAGAAACATCTTATACAAGATCACGTGTTGTGCGCTTCTCTGAATCCTCCCCTTTCAGCCTGCTCTTCTGTCTCTCGGGCTTCTTGCTCCCCGCGTCCCTCATCAGAGTAGACATGTGGCCTCGTGCTCGTATTGCTTGCCATGCACATCCTGCGAGAGGGAAGAGAGCGGAGCGATCGAGAAGAGCTTGTTGCCGCATCAAGATGAAAGCATGAAGCAGAGACAGACTAGAGGTGTAGGAAGGAGGCAAGCATGCGTGGTCACGAGAGGACTGAGGCAGAGATGACCGAAGGTGACGAGGGTCAGTCTTAAGATGTGTGTGAGAGAGGAGAGAGTACATTCATGCCCCAGCTCTGCCTGCCTGCCTGTCTGTCTGTCTGTCTGTCTGTCTGTCTGCCTGTCTGTCTGTCTGTCTGTCTGTCTGTCTGTCTGTCTGCCTGCCTGCCTGCCTGCCTGCCTGCCTGCCTGCCTGGCTGGCTGGACTGTCTGTCTGTCTGTCTGTCTGTCTGTCTGCCTGCCTGCCTGCCTGCCTGCCTGCCTGCCTGCCTGCCTGTCTGCCTAACTGTCTGTCTGTCTGTCTGTCACTCTCACGTGCGTCCTGTGCGCTGCTCTGAGCCACGGACGAGCGCTTTCCTCGGAGGAAGACTGTGGGCGGGAGCGATGGGAGGAAGCAGGAGAGTAGAACGACGTCAGAGCCGACGGCAAGGGGAGGAAGGGATCTGCAGGTAGATCAGAGACCAAGCCTTCAGTGATCAAGAAACACGCAGGGGGAGGGGCAGAGTGATGGAGGAGGCAGGGCAGGGCATGCGAGCTCGCCGGACGGGTGGTGTAGAGAGACGGGAGGGGTGTTTCGATGAGCCTGGGAGCC